AAATGGGATTAAATCTGGAGTATCTGAGAGAGTTAGAGCAAAGGAAGGGGTAGCAGTAATGTTAAATGATCAGTTATGGAAGGAGAAAAGAGAATATGAATGTGTAAATTCAAGAATTATGTGGATTAAAGTAAAGGTTGGATGCGAGAAGTGGGTCATAATAAGCGTGTATGCACCTGGAGAAGAGAGGAATGCAGAGGAAGAGAGAGAGATTTTGGGAGATGTTAAGTGAATGTATAGGAGCCTTTGAACCAAGTGAGAGAGTAATTGTGGTAGGGGACTTGAATGCTAAAGTAGGAGAAACTTTTAGAGAGGGTGTGGTAGGTAAGTTTGGGGTGCCAGGTGTAAATGATAATGGGAGCCCTTTGATTGAACTTTGTATAGAAAGGGGTTTAGTTATAGGTAATACATATTTTAAGAAAAAGAGGATAAATAAGTATACACGATATGATGTAGGGCGAATGACAGTAGTTTGTTGGATTATGTATTGGTAGATAAAAGACTGTTGAGTAGACTTCAGGATGTACATGTTTATAGAGGGGCCACAGATATATCAGATCACTTTCTAGTTGTAGCTACACTGAGAGTAAAAGGTAGATGGGAATACAAGGAGAATAGAAGCATCAGGGAAGAGAGAGGTGAAGGTTTATAAACTAAAAGAGGAGGCAGTTAGGGTAAGATATAAACAGCTATTGGAGGATAGATGGGCTAATGAGAGCATAGGCAATGGGGTCGAAGAGGTATGGGGTAGGTTTAAAAATGTAGTGTTAGAGTGTTCAGCAGAAGTTTGTGGTTACAGGAAAGTGGGTGCAGGAGGGAAGAGGAGCGATTGGTGGAATGATGATGTAAAGAGAGTAGTAAGGGAGAAAAAGTTAGCATATGAGAAGTTTTTACAAAGTAGAAGTGATGCAAGGAGGGAAGAGTATATGGAGAAAAAGAGAGAAGTTAAGAGAGTGGTGAAGCAATGTAAAAAGAGAGCAAATGAGAGAGTGGGTGAGATGTTATCAACAAATTTTGTTGAAAATAAGAAAAAGTTTTGGAGTGAGATTAACAAGTTAAGAAAGCCTAGAGAACAAATGGATTTGTCAGTTAAAAATAGGAGAGGAGAGTTATTAAATGGAGAGTTAGAGGTATTGGGAAGATGGAAGGAATATTTTGAGGAATTGTTAAATGTTGATGAAGATAGGGAAGCTGTGATTTCGTGTATAGGGCAAGGAGGAATAACATCTTGTAGGAGTGAGGAAGAGCCAGTTGTGAGTGTGGGGGAAGTTCGTGAGGCAGTAGGTAAAATGAAAGGGGGTAAGGCAGCCGGGATTGATGGGATAAAGATAGAAATGTTAAAAGCAGGTGGGGATATAGTTTTGGAGTGGTTGGTGCAATTATTTAATAAATGTATGGAAGAGGGTAAGGTACCTAGGATTGGCAGAGAGCATGCATAGTTCCTTTGTATAAAGGCAAAGGGGATAAAAGAGAGTGCAAAAATTATAGGGGGATAAGTCTGTTGAGTGTACCTGGTAAAGTGTATGGTAGAGTTATAATTGAAAAAATTAAGAGTAGACGGAGAATAGGATAGCAGATGAACAAGGAGGCTTTAGGAAAGGTAGGGGGTGTGTGGACCAGGTGTTTACAGTGAAACATATAAGTGAACAGTATTTAGATAAGGCTAAAGAGGTCTTTGTGGCATTTATGGATTTGGAAAAGGCGTATGACAGGGTGGATAGGGGGGCAATGTGGCAGATGTTGCAAGTGTATGGTGTAGGAGGTAGGTTACTGAAAGCAGTGAAGAGTTTTTACGAGGATAGTGAGGCTCAAGTTAGAGTATGTAGGAAAGAGGGAAATTTTTTCCCAGTAAAAGTAGGCCTTAGACAAGGATGTGTGATGTCACCGTGGTTGTTTAATATATTTATAGATGGGGTTGTAAGAGAAGTAAATGCGAGGGTCTTGGCAAGAGGCGTGGAGTTAAAAGATAAAGAATCACACACAAAGTGGGAGTTGTCACAGCTGCTCTTTGCTGATGACACTGTGCTCTTGGGAGATTCTGAAGAGAAGTTGCAGAGATTGGTGGATGAATTTGGTAGGGTGTGCAAAAGAAGAAAATTAAAGGTGAATACAGGAAAGAGTAAGGTTATGAGGATAACAAAAAGATTAGGTAATGAAAGATTGAATATCAGATTGGAGGGAGAGAGTATGGAGGAGGTGAACGTATTCAGATATTTGGGAGTGGACGTGTCAGCGGACGGGTCTATGAAAGATGAGGTGAATCATAGAATTGATGAGGGAAAAAGAGTGAGTGGTGCACTTAGGAGTCTGTGGAGACAAAGAACTTTGTCCTTGGAGGCAAAGAGGGGAATGTATGAGAGTATAGTTTTACCAACGCTTTTATATGGGTGTGAAGCGTGGGTGATGAATGTTGCAGCGAGGAGAAGGCTGGAGGCAGTGGAGATGTCATGTCTGAGGGCAATGTGTGGTGTGAATATAATGCAGAGAATTCGTAGTTTGGAAGTTAGGAGGAGGTGCGGGATTACCAAAACTGTTGTCCAGAGGGCTGAGGAAGGGTTGTTGAGGTGGTTCGGACATGTAGAGAGAATGGAGCGAAACAGAATGACTTCAAGAGTGTATCAGTCTGTAGTGGAAGGAAGGCGGGGTAGGGTCGGCCTAGGAAGGGTTGGAGGGAGGGGGTAAAGGAGGTTTTGTGTGCGAGGGGCTTGGACTTCCAGCAGGCATGCGTGAGCGTGTTTGATAGGAGTGAATGGAGACAAATGGTTTTTAATACTTGACGTGCTGTTGGAGTGTGAGCAAAGTAACATTTATGAAGGGATTCAGGGAAACCGGCAGGCCGGACTTGAGTCCTGGAGATGGGAAGTACAGTGCCTGCACTCTGAAGGAGGGGTGTTAATGTCGCAGTTTAAAAACTGTAGTGTAAAGCACCCTTCTGGCAAGACAGTGATGGAGTGAATGATGGTGAAAGTTTTTCTTTTTCGGGCCACCCTGCCTTGGTGGGAATCGGCCGGTGTGATAATAAAAAAAAAAAAAAAAATATACTGTTTATTCAAAGATATATTCTGGATAGCTGGGCTTGAGTCCTGGCAGTGGGAAGTACAGTGCCTGCACTCTGCAGGAGGGGTGGGATATTTGCTGTTTGGAGGAACATCCTGATGAGGTTTTTTCAAGGGTTCTTAAGGAATGCAAAATGGAACTCTGTGAACCATTAACTAATATTTTTAATTTATCTCTTCAAACAGGTGTAGTGTCTGATATGTGGAAGATGGCTAATGTAACTCCTATTTTTAAAACAGGGGACAAGTCGTTACCGTCAAATTACCGCCCAATAAGCCTGACCTCAATTGTAGGCAAATTACTAGAGTCAATTATAGCTGAGATTATAAGAAGCCATCTCGATAAGCATAGCTTGATTAATGATACTCAGCATGGATTCACAAGAGGCCAGTCTTGTCTAACTAATTTATTAACTTTCTTCAGTTAAAGCTTTTGAGGCTGTTGACCACAATAAAGAATTTGATATTATTTACTTAGATTTTAGTAAGGCTTTTGATAGAGTTCCGCACCATAGACTGTTAAAGAAAGTGGCAGCTCATGGCATTGGGGGAAAAGTGCTCTCGTGGATTGAGTCATGGCTCACTGACAGGAAGCAGAGAGTGTCCATAAATGGGGTTAAATCCGAGTGGGGATCTGTAACAAGTGGCGTTCCACAGGGATCAGTCTTGGGCCCGTTGTTGTTTATAATATATATCAATGATCTTGATGAGGGAATTACTAGTGATATGAGCAAATTCGTCGATGACACAAAGATAGGTAGGATAATGATTTCAAACGTAGATGTTATGGAACTTCAAGAGGATTTAAACAAAACTCTATTCTTGGTCAGAAAAGTGGCATAGATGCAGTTCAATGTAGATAAATGCAAGGTTCTGAAGCTTGGGAGTGCCCATAACCCTAGTACTTATAAGTTAAATGATGTAGAACTTAGCCATACAGATTGCGAAAAGGACTTTGGGGTTATGGTGAGCAGCAACCTTAAACCAAGACAGCAATGCCTAAGCGTACGTAATAAGGCAAATAGATTACTGGGATTTATATCAAGAAGTGTAAGCAACAGAAGTCCAGAGGTCATACTGCAGCTTTATACTTCATTAGTAAGGCCTCACCTAGATTATGCAGCTCAGTTCTGGTCTCCGTATTACAAAATGGACATAAATTCGTTAGAAAACATTCAGCGTAGGATGACTAAATTAATACATAGCATTAGAAATCTTCCTTATGAAGAAAGATTGAAGACTCTTAAGTTACATTCACTTGTTAGACGAAGAATGAAGGGAGACCTGATCGAAGTGTATAAGTGGAAGATAGGTACAGTATTAATAAAGGGGATATTAATAAGGTCTTGAGGATGTCTCTCCAAGAGAGAACCTGCAGTAATGGATTTAAATTAGATAAGTTTAGATTTAGAAAGGACATAGGAAAGTATTGGTTTGGAAATAGGGTAGTTGATGAGTGGAACAGTCTACCTAGTTGGGTTATTGAGGCTGGGACTTTGGGTAGTTTCAAATCTAGGTTGGATAAGTACATGAGTGGGAGGGGGTTGGATTTGAGTGGGACTTTCACATCAGAGCTTATTTCTTGGGTGGCATTGAAAATTGGGTTGGGCAAATGTTTTGTTAGTGGGATGAATTGTAAAGGACCTGCCTAGTATGGGCCAGCAGGCCTCCTGCAGTGTTCCTCCTTTCTTATGTTCTTATGTTATCTGATCTGTCATATCTGTGCACCTTTGGGAAGACAGTGATAGTGTGAATGTTGGTGAAAGTGTTTTATATTAGCAACCATTTTTTTAATTTGCCCAGAACTAAGTTAGAAATCTATGTTAACCTTACAGTTCGTTAAGGTAGCATTGAATTACCATAATTTAGTGTACTTGTTTTATTCCATGTGTGCATGTTAATTTTCTTTGTTCTGTAAGTTAACAAATGCTGTCCCTCACACAGACGACTTACTCTGTAGCCTTGCAAAGTGGAGAGACAAGAGTAACATTCATCAATGGTCTACCTTGTGACATTGCACTTAATGTTACTGGGCAAGATCCTGAAATTAAGATACCCCAGCTTCAGGAACATGTAAGTAAAATAAAAATACAGTGGACCCTTGACTAACGATATTATTTCATTTCAGACGTCTGTTCGGGTGTCGTTACCGACCGAATTTGTTCCCATAAGGAATATTGTGAAATAGATTAGTCCGTTTCAGACCCCCAAAAATTCACATACAAAAGCACTTACAAAAATACACTTACATAACTGGTCGAGTTGGGAGCTGATTGTTAGTCAAGGGTCCACTGTATATGCATATGATTTTTCTATATGTAACAAATGCCTGTATCAAAATTACTTACATCTCAAAGCCTACAGGTAGTGAAAGCTTTAGTTGCTTGTTATGCATAACAAAGAAAGCTATGACGTTATTAATTACTTTTTATATAAGAAATAAAATATTTAATTACATCATTTCACCCACACAGTGGGCTTCATCATGTGACAAACAGATTACAGGTCCACATCCCTTCATCCGAAATTCTGAAATTCGAAAAGTTCTGAAAACTGATGTTTTTTTGCGGAATGTGGAGCACCAGTCATCTCTGTGCTGGGTCATGCAGCCACATGGTGGCATTTCTTTATCTAAAAAAAAAAATGTTAAGTACAAAGAAAGCCACTAACATGCCTGAGCATTTCAGGCAGATTAAACTACACATAGGTTAAAGAGTGGTAAACTTTAATTGCAGCCTCTCCTCTCTTAACGATGGAGTTCCATTCTTAAGACCACATCAGTAAACGAATTCGTTGCAAAGTGAGGAGCATACTATAATGGTAGTGTCAGCCATCTCTGATATGTTTTAATGTCACCTTCAATTCAATTCAAATTCAGTTCAAAGTTTATTCTCTATAAGGATTACAATGCTGAGTTTACAGAATTTGGTTATTGTGTGGTTTACATGTAGAAAAATACTAATTACAGAGGGTGCCACTAGAACACCTAGCATGGCTAGGCATTTTGGGCAGACTTAGATTAATTCTTAAATTTAAAATATTACAAATTATGGGGTAAGTTGGTATTATGGCTAAGTGACTAAATACTATTTTGTGAGTTTAGCAATGTGAATGCTTTTGTTTTGGCACAGTACATATAGTCGGACTTGAGTCCTGGAAATGGGAAGTACAATGCCTGCACTTTAAAGGAGGGGTTTGGGATATTGGCAGTTTGGAGGGATATGTTGTGTATCTTTATACGTATATGCTTCTAAACTGTTGTATTCTGAGCACCTCTGCAAAAACAGTGATAATGTGTGAGTGTGGTGAAAGTGTTGAATGATGATGAAAGTATTTTCTTTTTGTGGATTTTCTTTCTTTTTTGGGTCACCCTGCCTCGGTGGGAGACGGCCGACTTGTTGAAAAAAAAAAAACCTAGTTTCAGTATTGGAGTATCACAGACCAACTTATGACTAGTTAGGATTCATTATTTTAAGATTGAGATTGATATTTCTGTTTATGGTCAAATGGGTGAGTGAGTGTAAGTGTGAACCACCAGGTGGTATTCTTTGCACCATTTATAATATTTCTGGTATATTTTTAAATGTTTATACAGTAGTTTACTGTATATTGCAATAAACAGAAAAAAGGAAATCAACTGTAATACACTACATTATTTGGTATGCATACTGGTCAGGGAGCCCTTTGTAAGTCCGAGTCATCGGTAAACATTAGTACTTTGCAAAGTGAGAAGAGGCTGTATTTATTATTTTACCTTATTACTAAAGTAAAATGAACTTGTATATTATACGATCAACTTTTTCATTATTTCTAGATAATCAAGAGCATCATGATAAACGAGGCCAACACGACATTCAATGTGACTTTAGAATTTGATGAACATAACTGCGGCAATGTTCGCCATGGTCTGCCACATTACGAAATTGTCGTCCATGAAGAAACAGTAAGATAACGGTGGAAGACATCGTAAATTATATTTTGAGTGTTATTGTGTGACTTTCTCAGGCTACAATTATTTTAAACATGAATATAAATTATAAAAATTTATTTGACTTCCAACAGATAAATTTCTGTGAATATAGATACTACTGTATTATAAATATTCATTTATTAATATTCATTGAAAAAGCTAGAGTACCTGAATAATATTTTTCACTTTTGCTTTGATGATTTATGAAATGTATCTTTTATTAACCAGAATGTCAGTAAAAAAAAAACATACCACAGGTGGGGTTTGAACCCTTGGTCAAAGAGTCTCACAACTCTCTTTCCGACCGCGGGTTCAAACCCCACCCGTGGTATGGTTTGTTTGCACTCATGTCATTATGATTTTGTGAGTCAGAATGTCAGTATTCATGAACATATAAGGTTCCCATAAATATGCATATTTGGTATTTAGGAGAGGTTTTAAAAGTCTACCTTTTTTTTTTTTTTTTTAAAGTAGCCTTTATGAGTGTAAAACATTATTGTAATTGCTTTAAATGGATTAATACTGTAAAAAATATAAACAATACTGTGACCAGAAGAACACACAAATAACTTACAGTTAGAAGAGAGAAACTTTGACAATGTTTTGGCCCAACTTGGGTTAGTTAATGATCCAAGTTGGACTGGAAAGTCATCATGAGTTTGTTTCCCATGTGTAGGTTATCTGTGTATTGTACTTATGTACAGAAGCACATTACTCAATTTCTTTTCATGATATTTAATTTTGGTAACAGGCACATGCTATTATGATCACAGCTGATTCTACTGTTATAAAAATGGTCAACATTGAGCCACCAGACGATTATATGAAATCAGACAGCGGACTTCCGAAACTAAGGTATCTAGTGTATACAGTACTGTACTTCGTCTCTTCTGGTTAAGTCTTCTTAACCAGGTGTTCTTGAATATAAATAAAAAATTGACTTAATACTCTGTGTGTTCGTGGGAGATGACTAGGTAATAAATGAAGATGATTGGGTAATAAATGAAGATGATTGGGTAATAAATGAAGATAATTGGGTAATGCAACCCACACCAGTCGACTAACACCCAGGTACCCATTTTAAACTGATGGGTGAACAGGAACAGCAGGTGTCATATGGAAACATGTCCCTAATGTTTTCCAGCCATACCAGAACAGAATCGAATTTCGGACCTCAGTGTGTGAGCTGAGTGAACTAGCATCGAGCTCTGGGACACATTAAAATGTCTAAATTATAGTAAGATTTGCTCTACATAGTCTTTATGGTAAAAAAATGTTATGCGTTACCAGCAGGTTCTTGGAAAAATGCAAAATGCAAAAAAAACTAGTACATTTTATTGGAAACATTTTGGTCTTGGGGCCATGGTCATTCCAAATGTGACAAAGGTCCCATAAAATGTCATTGATGTCAGTCAGCTAGGTCTGTAATACAGGTCGGCCATCACTAATCCGGCAATCAGTTATCCGGTTCCATCGGTAATCCGGCACTAATTTCAGCTAGCATAATTTCAAATTTCATCATTATACTGACTCAGAAATTGTGCAGATGGTTGTAAATCCACTCCAGTAAGCCAGTGGAGGAGAAAGCAGTGATGAAAATGAGGAAGATGTAGCAGAGCCTCTATTGATAGGTTAATTAAGTGTATTGTAACCTAACCACTCTGTAATCTGGCAAACTCGCAAATCTGGCACACTCAGGTCCCCAATGTGCGGTTTAGTGAGGGCTGCTGTAGTTGTATCATTTTACTTGTAGAAACTTATTATTTTATTTTTTTTTAACAAGTGGGGCCATCCCCCACCGAGGCAGGGTCCCCCCCCAAAAAAAAACCCCCAAAAGAAAAACTTTCATCATCATTCAAACTTTACCTCACTCACACAAAATCACTTTTTTTGCAGAGGTGTCAGAAACAACATTTTAAAAAGATATAGTATAAAAATACACAATATATCCCTCCAAACTGCCAAACCCGAACCCCTCTTTTAGAGTGGGGCATTGTATTTTCCCATTTCCAGGACTCAAGTCCGGCATAAAAAAAAAAAAGGGTTTTCCCCCTGAACCCTTCACTAAATTTACCCTGCTCCACCCCAAATTGTCGGCCCCAAATACCTTCGCCCCATTCACTCCTATCAAAAGGCTCATGCACGCCTGCTGAAGCCCAAGCCCTCCCCCACAAAACCTCCCTTGCCCCTTCTTCCAACCTTTTCGGGGACGCCCCCTACCCCGCCTTCCTTCCCCTACAGATTTAAATGTCTCCATGTCATTTACTTTGATCCTTTCTCTCAAAATGAAAAAGAACATAAAAATGGGGGAACACTGCAGAAGGCCTACGGGGCCAGCGGGGCAGGTCCTTATAAAAACGAACTATACCTAAAGCTTCCTAGAAATAACTCCCGTCCCCAATGACCCCAAATAAACCCCACCCCCTCCCCTCATATATTTGCCCAGTTCTTTTTAAAAAGCTACCAAGGGTCCTACCCCCTCTATCACCCCACTGGGAAGACTGTTCCACGCATCTACAACTCTGTTAGAAAACCAGTACTTACCTTGCCCTTTCTAAATCAAATTTTACCCAATTTTAAATCATTTTCCTGGTTCTTACCTTGTTCGACACCCTCAGTACTTTATTAATATCTCCCTTGTTTTTTGCCCGCATCCACTTTAGTACACTTCAATGAATTCCCCCTCTTTTAGGCCTCCCCCAGGGGAGGGGAGTTTTAAAGGCTTTGATCTATCTTCTACGGGAGGTTCCTTAACAGTAAATCATTTTAGCATTTTCTCTGTATTTTCTCTAATGATCTATATCCATCCTGTAGTAAGGGGACCAAAATGAGCAGCTAATCTAAAGGGGCCTCCAGTTGTATAGAGTGAAAAATAATTTTGGGGATTCTGTTACTTTTACTTCTTGAATAAATCCAAGTAATTTTTGGGCCTTGTTGCACACACAAAGGCACGCTGTCTTGGCTTTAGATTTCTTTACCATGACTCCCAAGTTTTTTTACATTCTGTATGATCAAGTCACTTCACCTGATTATACTTCGGGGGTTATTTTCTTTCCCAAGGGCAATCCCTTAACTTATCCACATTAAAAATTTCATTGCCATTTTTCAGACCAAGACATTAATTTGTCCAAATCGTCCTGGGTTATTGATATCCCCCTCAAGTGAATTATACCCAAACTTTGTATCTCAAAAATTTACCATGTCATTTTATCCCTTCATAAAAGTCTTTAAATGAAATTTATAAAACAAGAAGGGCCTAAATGATCCTTGGGGAAATCCCACTGTGATAATCCCCTTTCAATTTCACTCCATTAATGGTAACTCTCTGCTTTCTTTGGGTAAGACCTCAATCATCTAGAAGTTTACCTCCTATACCATGACTGCCACTTTTCTTAAGAGTCTCTTGTGAGGTATCTATCGAAAGGGTTTTTTGAAATCCAAATAAACAATATCATATTCCTTTTCACTGTCAATGCCTCAAATGTTCTATTGAAAAACGTCTAAGTTTTTCAGGCGGAACGACCTCTCGTGAATCCATGCTGAGATTCATTTTTAAGTTAGCTCTTAAGGTACTTCTGAAATGTAGCTATAATTTAAATTTAAAATTGCCCACTATGTGTCAGGTTATTGGAGGTAATTTGAAGGAGGGGGCTTTTCCCCTGATTTTAATTAGGAACCCATTAGCCATCTTCCACAACTCTGGACAACACGGTAAGGGTGGACGCTTGAATACACTCGTTAATGGGGTGACTAAGTATCTTGCATTCCTTAATACCCTGGAAAACAAACATTTTGGGGGTTACAAAATTTTTTCATTTGTCTAGTTTTTAAATGTCCCCCCGTGACAGCAATATTAGTTAATTAAATTTTCCCGGAAATAAAAAATTGCTAATTACTGGAATTCATTTACACTTCCTTGTAAAAACTGACAAAAAATAGTCATTAAATAAGGAACACTTTCCAGTTCATTACCGTAGCTGTCCATTCCCCCGTTTTCAGAGGTCCCACTTTTTTCCTTTACCTTTCCCATACACTTGAAAAAAACCCCTTTGGATTAGCCCTTTTTATTCATTAGCAACTCTAATTTTTTTTTAAGCAGTTTTGCCCTTTTTAATCCCTTCTTTATTCTTTTAAGCTGAAAATTTGTCGTAAGGTTAACCCCCTCCTTTCTGATCGCCTATAAATTCCCCTTTTCTCCCCTAATAAGCTTTAGCCTCCGTTTCCCTTTGGGGTCATTTTATTGACCAATTTTTCTCTGGGGGGTGTAAAACTTGGGCACTGTGTAACATTTAAAAAAAAATCAAAAAGCAATCCCTTCTTTCTAGTATATTATCGCAATAAAAATCATGCAGTAACCCCAATAAGATTAGACAGTGTTCCTTAAGCCTTAAAGGGCAGAACAAAAATCAGGGATTTTTATGTTTATCTTATTTTTGCTTTCCAAAATTTAAAGCTAAAAGGAGGATTTTGATCACTTGCGCCAAGCTCCCTTTATGTCCCCAATTTTTACGAAGGGTTTTTTTTTTTGACAAGACTAGTCTAGCAAATTATTACCCCCTTTAGGCCATTTACCTCTTTTTTCAGAAAAAAGTCCTGAACTGTTTTATAAAATCATGGATCTAGATTCCTGTAAAGAATTCCCGCAGTTTGTAAAATTAAAGTCCCCACTATGCTATGTTACTGTGTCCCAAAAAGCCCTAACAGTTTGTCCCAAAAAAGTCTCCCTCTATCGTATCCAAGCCTGGGGGTCGGTAATTACACCCAGAATAAGTTTTTTTGACCCTCCCCGAACTCTACCCAAACAAACTCTGTTACTGCTCCCTTATTTTTATACCTTTTTTATGCAACAATTAATATTTCTGAAATACAATGCAACCCTCCCCCTTCCCTTACATCTATCCACATTGAACAATTAAATCCCCGAATATTAACTCACGCATTCCCGCTCTTTAAATCATACCCGTTTCAGTTAAAGCAAAGTACAAATTTCCAGCACATGCTACCAAACGTTTTGTTCATTAATTTTTTTTCTTGCACTTCGATGTTAGCTAAATACCATCAAAATTTTTTTTTCTGCACATTTTTCCCTTTTATCTTTGTTTTTACAAATTTTGAAATTATCATTACCCCCGAGTTACTCCAGACAGTTACTATTAACCCCTTTTAGGGTCCGCCCGTAGACTACGGCTTTACGTTTAGGGTCCCAAACCGTAGATTCGCCATGAGTCAGCTCATCTGAAAAAAATGTGAGTGGTACTTTGGGCTAATATGAGGAAAACATCTATTGGTATGTTGCACACAAAAACACATCCTGCGCACATGTGCATAATAGAGAAAAAAAATGAAAACATGATTTTTTTTGATTAAAACAGCAACTTTAGTTTTTTCTATGTTTTTTTATTTTTATTTGCGATTTCTTGGTCCATTTGATGAATGGAAAACTATTACAGAAATAGAGAGATTTTGATTGGTTTTTTATAGGAAAAAAAGGCTTGAAAATGAGTCAAAGTAGCGGGAAATGTTAAATATTTGCCGATATTCAAGAGTAAACAAACGACCTCACACATCTAATACACATCAGCTGGTGGGTCTAAATACATTCACAAATATGGTGATGATATTTATACAATTATTACAGTATTGCATAACAGTAAATCTTCTATTTTTTGGTGTGAATAAAAATTCATTATGTGAATAAAAAATCAAAATGAATTTATTTGTAAAGCCTCAAAACATAACTAATGAACAGAGGAAATGTTAGTTTAGTGCCAGGGAAATGCCTACATTGTTCATTCTCGACCCTATTTTGAAATTGGAAATTTTGAACTTTGTGTTAAATTGGCCAAATTAACAAT